AAAAAAAAAAAAAAAAAAAAAAAAAAACACATCTTAGTAAAACCAATACCTTCTCAGCTTCGCATCGAAGCTAAAATTTCGGACTTTATTTTATCTTCACGGTGAAAATGGCTACCGAATGCTATTTTTGTGTGAAAATTCTCGATTTTGTTTTTTACATTTTTAACTTTATTATGCTATTACTTTTTGAAAAGTGTATGGATTAACACAATTTTTTTATGAAAAATAATATTAAAAAACTCAGCACAGGGGGGTCGCGGCACAGTTGTGACGTGGTATAGTTGGATCAAGTATAATGATATCTGACAGTGATTAAAATCACTATCAAAAATAAACGCTTCGATGCAAATCTTTAGATAGTGTTTAATTTAAAAAAAATTGGTGTTTTATTCCAAAAGCTACTTGATCTGCTGGTTCCTTATTAATATCTCGTTTAAAATAAAGTATGTCGAATGAAAAAGGGTTTATTAAAAAATATTATTTCTCATAAAAAAATTGTGTGGATCCATAAACTTTTCAATAAGTTATAGCATTATAAAGTTAAAAATGTAAATAATAAAATCGAGAATTTTCACACGAAAATAGCATTCGGTAGCCATTTTCGCCGTGAAGACAAGTCCAGAGGTCAATTTTTTTTTTTCAAATTAAAGTATATTACATTAGCTTTAATTTAAGATATATATAAAAGTGTCAGACCTTCCGGAACACTGTGAGAGTTGAGAAAAAGTGGTAACAGACACAAAAAAAAACACATCATAGTAAAACCAATACCTTCTCAGCTTCGCATCGAAGCTAATACCTTTTTCATTCGACATATTTTCTCTTGATCATTATATAAATAAGGAAATAGCAGATCATGTAGCTTTTGGAATAATCCACCATTTAAAATCACTATAAAAAAAAACGCTTCGATGTAAATCTTTAAATAGTGTTTAATTTAAAAAATATTGGTGGATATTATGTAATTTAATTTCAATCCAACTATGTTACGTCACCACTGTGCTGCGACGTCCCTGTGCTGGGTTTATTTTTGTGATAAATTTTACAAAATGAAATCCACTCTCCTCTTTTTATTTAATAAACAGCATAGGTAATCCATTTAGTCTTTTCTAAAAAAAGATGAAATAATTATTTATCTTTAATTATAGAAGTCAACGAAAAATTACCTCTGATATTGTATTGCGTAAATAAATTTTAATCCTCTTTAAAGAAAATGAGATGACGAAAAAGTGTCTATGTAGCCAATATTTAAGTAGTCTATATATATTAGGATAAATGTTATTGAAAATTTTTAAAGAATCTATAACATTTTTAGGTTTTTGATTTAATTCACATAGTTTTTGTCTCCTTAATTTCAGTTCTGAAAATAAAAAACTTTCTCATTCCAAATCTTCTGAATAAAAAACATCCAAATTGAAAAATTCCTCTTCATCTTGTGTATACATTTCAGGTTCACTAGGGAGTAACGTTTAAAAGCCTTTTAGTATATTCTTATGTTCCATAAACCTGTGTACGATTTCAATTTTAAATGTGTCCAAATAAAAAATAAAAATTGATATTCTAAAATTAACTTCCGGTGTGTTTGCTGAATAATTATTTCTACTTATTTGATTGCTTGAAATTTGTAGAATTGATATAGAGCAGTTCGATCAGTGTATTTTCAGCCAACCCCACAGATTCTCTTAAATCAATTTTAGAATTTTGACATTGTGTGGGCAGTGGTAAACCAATTGCAAATATTTTAGAGAGTATAAAAAGTATATGCCAAATTCTCCTTATAAAATTAAATGAAAAAATTATTTGTTTGACTTGATGTTTCACCATTGTTCCAATCACTTATTATGTTTAACGAATGAATGACATATTCTAAAAGTTCTATGAAGTCATGTAATGAATGGAAGCGCTCAATCCATCTAGTCGCTCAGTTTCGCTTTAATGACCTTGCGTGTAATGTTTCATTGAACTCTTCAATTGTTTGTGTAAGTATATGTGTTTCTTTTAGTTTACGCAAAAAAATCATACATTTTACCAATAGTCTCAAGTCTATTTATAAATGCTATTTTTTGGATATCACAAGATTAAGACACTGTCAGAAGAGGTGTACAGCACATACCTCGTGAACGTATGTTGCCATTAAATATAATTGACTAATATGTGATCGAACTCCGTTTAACTTCCCAGACATAGTTGCCGCACCGTCATAATCCTGATTACATAAATACTTTATTTCGATTCCAAATGACTTCAAACTGTCTAATATAATAGTTTCTAAGCCTTTTGTATTCCTTCGAATTTTCAAAAGTTCGAGTTCCCGATATTCCATTTTAATTTATGTAGACATTTTGTCAATTAATAGTTTATCAACTATTCAATTGTGCATAAAAGTTTTAAAACTCTAAAATTATAACATGCACTGTATTTTTTCAAAATGTTGAAATTGTATAATTAAAAATGTTCCGAATTTGTAAAAAGTATGCAAAAGTTATCAATAAAAATCAATTTTGATAAATTATTATATCTATTGGCTATTATTAAGCTAATATAAATATAGTTGAAATATATGCTTATTATAATATAATAATTTTAATTAAGTATAATATACTTAATTAAAATTATATAATTACCCGTATAATGAATTTATCCATTTTTAGCATTCGCGAAAAAAAATTGTTCATATTTAATAATACAACTGACGAAGTTAGATTATTCTAAACTATAGAAATTAGATACTCATAGAGCCACGCGACTGCGCATCAGCCGGTCGAGATGTATATGCTTAATATGGAAAATTTTATTTTATTTATAGTTCATCAATACATGGTACAATTCGATATGCAATAACATCAACAATTTATTATTATAAATAACACTATAGACTTTTACTATAGAGAATTTCTAGATTTTCAATAATTTTATATTCCTGTACTCGTTAAAACTATTTAATTATTGTACCTCTACTTTATTTAAGTAAAATATTTTTTTTTGTTCTTGGGGGTTTAAACCCCCCAATATCTACGGCACTGATTCAAATATATCAACAAAAACTAAATTTTAACTCTTTTAGTCAATTTTTAAACTCTTTAAGGCACATGAAGGGTTGACCTAGAACGCTCAAAATTTACAAATATTTTTTGTATGCAGTATAGAACAAAATTCCGATTTCTTGTCATCAAATTTGCAAATTAAGGACCATCTCAATGTTTATAGAAGATATAACTTTTTAATTTTCGTTCTAAGATTTGTTATACAAATAGTCAAATCAATGTAGTTGTAGTGCATTAAAAAATGTTTTATTATTATTAATCAATATTCAAATATATTGTTACAAGATAACTAATGGGTGGTCGTAAATAATCATTTAAATTGGTACAATAAGAGACTTGTCGATTTGAAGTACAATGGTTAATATATTGTGTGTTAAATAAGTAAGATATTTTTAAGTTTAACAATTTGGTGATATTATTCTTGCGGAACCACGCCTAGTCAAGTTCAACATAAAACATAAAGACCTTCAATATTGATACATCTTTGCAATAGAAGTAACGAAGTATAAAACTACTTTATAATTTTTGATAGTGTCTCCGAAAAAATTATAATATTAAATTATTGAATATCAATTTCTTATTAAAAGACCTTACTATATTAATTATTTATTCATATGTTATACTTATAAATCATTAAACTACTAATCAGGATATAAATAAGGAAATAAGACTTAATTTTGTTTTCGGAATAATCCAACAATTTCTCCAAAAAATTTAACATTATCTACAGATTTGCATCGAAGTGTTTTTAACGATAGTTGTTTTAATAAATGTCATATATTATTTATATTTTTCCAAATATGTTACGTCCAAGCTTTACCTTTAGGATTTTCATTATTTTTATAATTGCTATTATCCATATCTAATTTTTTTTACGTATCTATGGTAATTTATTAATAAAATTTTTTTTTTAAATAAAAACCACAAGCCAAGTTGACAGCTTATACATTTTATAATTAAAATATATAAATTTTATAAATATAAATTTTATAAATTTTACATCATTTACAACATAAATGTTTGTTAATTTAAAAACAAGTGAAGATATACCAGATAGTGAAGCATCTGAGAAAGAAAGTAGAAATTAAATAATATACATTATTCTATTGCCTATTTTCATCATTTAAATAACTTTTTTTCAGGTTCTTTTGTTCAAGAATGTAAAAAGTTATTTGAAAATAAAACAACACAATATCATTCACACACCCATCAAATTATATTATCCAATAAAATTGATCGCACCTTACCATTCCAACAGTTTCAATTTGAACGAACGTTATCAAAAGATGACAATAAATTGGTATCAAGTAGAACAGAATGGGAAACAATGTTTTATTTAATCAATTGTAGTCGCGGTGAAAAACTAAAAACACAAGAATCTCAATTTCTTGAATTGTATCCGAATTACAAATTAACGTTGGATCAACTTTCCAAATTGGGAAGTTTACACTGTCAGTTGAAGTCGTTCATGATAAGTAATAGTAATCATGATAGTAGAGTAATTCGAGCATTTTGTTTAGTTATACAAAAAGAAATAGATTCATATCATCATTATATCAACTCTTGGCTACTTCAAAATAATGAAGTCTTTAACCAAAAAAATCCAATAGAATTTCTTAAAAAGAATGTTTTGTTGAAAAAAGATATTGAATTAAAACTTTTTATTTTAGTAAAAATGACACACATAGCTAGAACTAATATGGGGTGCAGCTTTATCTCAGAATTAATGCAAATGGAGTGTTCTGATATAAAAGATACAGTTTTATATGAAGTACTGAAACCTATACAACATATAACGATTCGTTGGATGGCTGATGGTATTCTAGAAGAAAATAATGATGATTTTTTCATAGTTCATGAACCTTCAGTTGATGACTGGTTTTCTGACGAGATTATTTTTAGCAAAACAAATAAACTTGATTTTCTCGGAAAAACAAAGCTAGACGACATTTATAATATAGGTAGGCATATACGCTTGTTATTGAAACATAAGGTATCTAAACGATTTAATGACAAAATTACATTATTACGGGATCACATACAACGTACATTAATTGATCAAAAAGAATCATTATTACTCAAATTGTCCGAAGATTTAACTTCAATTCAAGCTCAAACTTCAATATTGCTTTTGGAAATGTTTGTAAATGAATTTAATTTGTTTATGTACTTCGAAGGCCTCAAGAATTATATGCTATTCGGTAGAGGAGACTTTTATGCTTATGTGGTTTATAAATTAGATGCTTTTTTTGAAAAACATGCAATTCACAATTACCAATTAAAAGGTATAGTTGAAGATGCATACGAATTAACATCAGCCGCAAATGATAGCATAAAAATATTCGATTGCTTAAAGTACAAGACTGTTTTAGGAGGTTCAATATTAGATTGGCATAGTCTAAAGTTTGAATATATTATCCATGAACCTTTAACTAAATTATTTAGTCCATGCATAAACATTTACGGTGATATTTTTGAGTTTCTTTGGCGGCTTAAAGAAATTGATTATACTATCGTAAAATTTTGGTATAAATTTACACTTTTTACCAAAAAAATTCATATTGGTTCTAAATTGAAGCCAGTTTTGAGAAATGTAAATGCACTTTTATTTAACATGATAAACTGTATTCATGAAATTCAAAACTTCACATTCGAAATTATTAATGAAAAATGGAAAATATTTCAAAAAATAATAAAAAATGCTGATTCAGTAGAAACTATTATGGAAGAACATAAAATATTTTTAAATACGTTGATTAAATTTTTGCTTGATGCTTCATTAAAAAATTACGTTGAGTCATTTCAAAGGAATGTTAAAAGAATGGTTGTTATTCAAAATTTTACTACACTGTTTGATAATAATGGAATAAATAGTCAGTATGATAGCTTTGTGGAGAAATTCCTGAGAGTTCAAAAAAATTATAAGGTGGATCTTGATTCTTTTTTACTGAAGCTAATTAATAACGAAGAACAATTTTTAGGTACTCTAGCTATGAGAATCGATTTCAATGATTATTATCTTTCTAATACAACCTGTGTGTACAGAGCTGCACCATGTATTATAGTTAGTTGAAAGAAGATTTTATTAATTGTTCTTTTTATTATTTAACATTTAGGAATGGATATAATGTTTAATTATTAGCTTACAAATTCTAGTAAATATATGATTTAATACAAATAACGATTCTTTTACGTCATTTACATCATCGGTTGTATTTATGCAGTGGCGGCTCGTGGCTTGGACGACGGAACGATCGCACCTCCTACTAAAATTAATTAAAAGAAGAAAATCAATTGTATATTCTTCAATCTACATATTTATTAAAAATGCAAATTTTTAAATAGTAAAACGGTTATAATACATTTGTAGTGTGCGCGAACATTAAATTTCCTTCAGTATATGTGAGAATGAATGCACATACGAGCAGTGTTCGGACGACAGATAGCGTCGTCAGAACAATATTTTGAAATGTATATTATAAACGAGGAGCCGATTCGTGTGCGTGCTGGTACGATAAGCTGCAATCTTATGTATAGGTTTTCGATGACCGGCAGCGTATTTTTGGAATTAAATACATGTATGCTCGTCGTTTGCTTTAATAGTATAATTTTTGTTCCAAGCTTCGTATTTACTTTAAGTTATGTTACCCTCTTTTTTTCGTTGAAGTATTAGTTTTTTTTTCTGTGATTAATTATTGTTTTTGTTTTTCCTAATCCATTTCAAGCTCTTCTTTCATAGATGACTTTTACATCTGACACATTTTTAAGAAGTTGGAGGTTTCAGTTTTAAAATTAAATGTAATTTTTCTAAACTAATAGCTTCATAGTTTATATTAACTAAACATGTTGGCGATTTAGATTGTTGAATAGAAACAGTAATTTTTTATTTAAATCTGTTTCATGAGATCTTGAAATAGAAAATCTATTATTTTAGGGTCCTTTTCTTGTTTTAATGCAATCATCTGGTAATCTTGTGCAGGAATAAATCAATCAGTAGTTAATTTCTTTGTATTTAAGGGATGTATTCTAACGTTATTATATACAGATTCCAAAATGTCTCTTTAATCATTGTAGCAACTTTTGCATAAATTTTATTCAGGATTGAAGCTTAATTATATATTGTAATTTTTTCGCGAGGAATTTTAAAAATAAATTACATTTAAGATTAATCACAGCTTTAAATGGACTGAAAAACATCAAATCAAGCGGCTGCAATTTATACGATTTATACAGATGTATAATATAAACACCATGTTGAGGCCACATAAAACGTTATAATACGGTATAACTACTACCACGATTGATAACGGTTCCAGCAACGTTATCAATCAGCCGGCCACCTGTCACACACAACATATCACCGTAGATTTTAAGGCTAGATTTTTAAGTTCGGTAGAATAAGTGTGGAATACTCAATAAAAGATTTTTGGATTTGTAACATTTTTTATTATTCAGTATTAGTTTATAGTGGTCATAAGGGCCTTTTAATAAATTAGTCATTTTTAGTCAAACCTGTGATATATATCTGAACTGTGATATTTGTGAATTTTTACTGAACTGTTTAAGAGATTTATGTTTTATTATTGAGAAAATTTGTGTATTGTGGTCATGTTTAATTGTATCATATTATAGTTTATGTTTTATTTTTGTGTTAGAAGCAACTGCCCAGCAAAAGTTTTGTAAGTAGTTGTTTGTATATATATTTAATTTTGTTCATTGAGTGTCTAGTTTGCTCGTATTGATTGTGTTTTATTGAACAGAATTTAGTAAAATATTTATCCTATTGCTAGCATGAGGCTGAGTGCTCCATGACCATAAGGGTCTTGAGAATATAGTTTGTTAAAAGCCATAAGGGTGATTAGTGAATTATATTGTAGATAAATTATTTTTTCTATTAAATTATTGTTTTTCTCCCGTTTTTTGTCTGTTCAATATCCTATTACTATAAGTAGATAGCTAGTCATTTCTTGTTACTACATTAAAGTTTTTATTACCATTTTAGTTTTATATTGATTATTTATTGAAGGAGTTATAGTTAATATCGTTTATTTTTTATAAGGTCTATAGCTATAATATATACTACTGAGTTGAATTTTACTACTGTTGAGCTAGAAGGGCTACCTTGTTATATTTTACCTTTTACTGTTGTTGAGCCAGAAGGGCTACCTTTTTTATAGCTATTATCATTTATTGTGTATCATTGTTTATTATTATATATTTGTTATTGACTATTATAACCCTTTGAATTATTTATTTACTTAGTTTAAGAACCTACAACGCTGCTAACCATTTGCCGTCCAAGGATTACGCCGGACATCGCGTCGTCGACGCCAGCGAAAGTGCCGCGATATTATGCGAAGATTATTATTACTGTGTTTATCTTTTCGATTTGTTTTATTTTAGCTTCGATGCGAAGCGGAGAAGGTATTAATTTTACTATGATGTGTTTTTTTTTTTATGTCTGTTGCCACTTTTTCTCAGCTCTCACTGGACCGATTTCTTTCAAAAATACGTCAAAAGATCACAAATCGTATCTAGTTGAAGACATTACCCTTAAAAATTGAAAAATTGTCCCTCATTCTCCGAAAATGGGGGAAATATCCAAAAAAATTACAAATTTAAAAATCGGTAAATTTTGTCATTTTTTTCTTAAAACTTCCATAACTTTTTCAAAAATAAACAAATCAACATAAATTTTTTTTATACTAAAACCTTAGATATTTTCCTTTCATTTAATATCATTTTTTTGAAAATTTAACACTTAACCTGCTCATTGGGGGGAATTTAAAATAGCAACTTTTTTACAAAAACTAACTTTTTCAACTTAATTTTTGAAAATGTTCCGGAAATACTGCGTCCTTTAAACATATATCAAATTAAAGCTTATTTTATGTACTATAAAATGAAAAAAAAAANGAGTCTTTTATCAATTGGATGAAATTATGGGCAGCTTGGTCAATGTCTGCTAACGTTTTCAGTGAAATAGTAAGATTGATATTATTATCCATACAAATTTTAAATTTTTCCCAGTTAATGGGTCCATTTGTAAGGGATGGCCTGGAAGTGACTGATACTTCACCACCAATGGTGAGTATGACAGGCGAATGATCACCGGAAAGGTCAGTACTATTTTCTACTTTTATGTTTATCTGATTAGACAATTTTGATACAAAAAAGTCCAATATGTCAGGATGTCTATTGGCATGGGTTGGCCAATACGTTGGTCCAGGAGGGGAGATATATGAGTAGTGTTGATTAGTTAAAACTGAGTGAAGAGATTTGCCTCTTTGGTTGTTTGAGACACTACCCCACAAAGAATGTTTTGAGTTGTAATCACCACCAGCAATGAATGAGTGACCTTGGGTATCAAAAAATTGTAGAAAGTCATCCTGACGAATATTATAACAAGGGGGACAGTAGACAGCGGAGATAGTAGTCGGAATACTATTTATATGTATTAACACACAAGTCGCTTGGATACAGTGCTTTTGATATGCAATTTTTTCACTATGATGTATGTCATTTGATATTAATATCGCAGAGCCGCCGCGAGCGGTCCCGTCCGGATGATTGGTTTTGTATAAAGTATAGTTAAAAATGTTAAAGTTAGATTTTTCAGTAAAGTGCGTTTCGCTTATAAGTGCTATGTCAATTTGTTTTTCATTAAGTACAGTTTGAAGTTCGTCTTTGTGTTGAAGTAAGCCGTTAGCATTCCATAAGAGTACTTTGAGATCATGTTTTTGAGTAATGTTATTGTTAGTCATTTTTTAGTAGAATTTTATTAATAACAGTTGTTAGTAGTGTTATTAGAGGATTAATTACAGATTTAAGGTCTGTTAGGAATAAAGAAAACTGTTTAGTAAGGTCATTAGAGTCTGTATTGGTCGTCATGTGATTTTGGGTATTATTTTCCGAGTTGTGGTGTTGAGTTACGTATGCGTAGGAACTATGTTTTTTAGTGTTTGGTGACTGGGTGTTACCAATGGGGACTTGTACATTATTATTTACATTATTTACATTATTTACAGTATTGACATTATTTAAATTATTTTCATTAAGCTTAATAAAATTATGATTTAAATGGATATCCTTTCTTTGTTTTAAATTAACGATTCTTCGCTGCTGTTCATTTTTATAAGCAGGACAACCGCGATAATTCGCTGGGTGGGCTCCTCCACACAAGGTGCATTTGGGTGGCTGATCTACAGGTTTTAGACACGCTTCGGTCAAGTGTGAGCCGTCGCATTTGACGCAACGGGGCTCGTGGTTACAGTACCTTTTTGAATGACCAAAATTTTGACACCGAAGGCACTGAATCGGGTTATTATTTGGTTTGGGAACTTCAAATTTGACTTTGGAATAGCATATAGAGTTGACTTTAAAAATGTCGTTGTTGTTAGGTTGTGGTACGAGATCTATAAAAAACATAGGAAGGGGGGTTTTTGATTGATTTTTGAGGACGTTTACCACTTGTTTGACATTGAATCCAAGTTGTTTTAATTCATCTTCGATAAATTTTGGATCTGTGGAATGATGTAAGTTTTTGAGCACAACGCGAAATGGTTTTTCTTGTTTGGTTTGAAACGTGTGGAAATCGACGTTTTTTTGCACAAGTAATTGAACAATTTTCCTATAAGATTCAGGAGTATTAAGATGAAGACGAAGACCAGAGATACTACTCTTACATGAAAATTCGTCCGAACCGATATTATTTTTAATGAGTTCACAAAATTTTAAGTAATTTAACTCTGATTTAATGAATATGGGAGGTGGTTTATGAATAATTGGTTCAGTTGCGCGTTCCGTTTCGATTTCATCGTTATTGATTTGTAGTGGACTATATCGATTTGATAGTCTCCTATTGTTGTTATTACATGGGCCATGTTTAGATATCGGAGAGGAACCAGGTGATTGTGTGTGAGGTCTTTTGTTCGACGATAGAACTGTAATCCACACGTCGTCAGAATCGTCAACGTTATCTGATTTATGTGTTTCGTTTTTGTTAACTACTTGGCTACGGTTGATAATAGTAATAGGCGTTATCGGAGTATTGGTTTGAGATGACGGTGGTGTCTTACTGCGGTTAGACATTTTTCAGCAATTAAGTTTATGATAATTTCTTACCTTGATCCCGTAGGATCACACGATGTTGTGAGTTTGATGCAGTAACGCGATCTCTGTAATTCGGGCTATCGAACGGTGTAAGTTTGGAAAAAGAACACAAAATGTGACGTATAAAAATATATATTAATAGCGGGAGCGTGACACGAGACATGAGAACTCAATGGCAGCTGAAGGCTATCTGTTCATAATATTTATAAAATATCTTTTAAGCACATTTTAGAAATATTTTTAGTGTAATATTCTGTATTATTCTCTTTAATATATTCTCAAAATATATATAATCAAATATTTAAAAAATTATTTTGTGAGCATATTAGGGTCAATCCATGCCAAATCATCCAGAAGTGGTTCCACGACCACCTCACATTTTTCTTAAATTTTCAGGGTTTATTATTTATGCTATAATTAGATTAAAACAATTTTTTTTGGCAATTTCAATGTAAAAAATGTTAAAAATAGCCAGAACATTAAAAAACACACAGATTATTCAATATTAACTCAATTGACTTAAAACTTTAGGATTGACCTTATTATAACTTATAGTTAACATTAAAAAAAAAAAAATTGATGTGAAATTTCAAACTTAAATGACTTTCTAAAAATGATGCTTTTTTTGAGAAAATTGGCGTTTTTGAGCTCACCTAAAACCATTAGAAGTTATTATTTTATAGTGATTTTTAAATGTGGCATTTTATAGTATATAATCTATGTTTCAACTAAATTTCAAATATTTAAAACAATTTTCTTGGGATTTAGAGGCCTACAAAGTTAGAAATTTTATAAAAAGACACGTATTCTAGGTGCATTATCTCTGATGGGGGACCTAATTTCGAAATTTTTTTTTTTTTAATTTTTAGTTATATATCTGCTTTATACACCATAAAAATTTGAAGTTTGAAAAAAAAGTTTAACATTTAAAATTTAGCATTAG